ATTGCTATCTTTTATTACTAATAGATTATCCTTTAGATAATTAGACACTTCTTTGTTGTCTTTTTTTTCGTTTAAGACAGCTTAAATGTATTTATTTAAATATTTTAAAAGACCTAACTTTTTAAAATAATAGTTATAAAAGTCCTTTATATACTAAAAAATATATTGGATATTTCTAGCTAGGTATTATATCTTATTAGGATCTCTTCTAGCCTATTTTAGCTTATATTATAACCTATTATATTATAACTATATATTAAAGACCTTCTTTATCTTCTATTTATTATATTCGGCGATTTTAATTAACGAGGAAAGATCGAGAAGCTACTTAGACAGCAATAAATGATTAGAATAGTTTATATAGTATAGTTTCTTAGGGATAAAGACTAGATAGATATCGAATTTAAAAAGAAGTAATAATTTAAAAGAATAATTAATTTTATTAATAATTAAAAACGATCTTATACTTTTATTAAATAACTTCTTACTAGGTCGTTCCTATTTTAGGCTTTTTATAGTGATATAAATATAATCTTTAATATTAAAGACAACTTCTTGATATTATTAATTTATTTATTTCTTTTGTACTAATTGTATATTTATTATCTTTTTTTGTATTAAGTCTTATACTACTTCTATTTATTATATAAATTCCTATACTATATAGAAACCTAATTACCTTTATAATATTGAATTAGTCTAATTGAATAATATATAAGGTTCGTGATCTTATTTAATAAAAAAGGAAGACTTTCTAGTAGATATAAATAAAAGTAAAGCGATTATTAAATTAATAATTAGAAGTTATTTTAACTAATTATTTTAATAATAACTAATATAAGAATATAATCGCTATATAATAAACTAATTAGTATTCTTAGTCTATTTATCTATCTATAGATAACAAGCTATAGAAAGTTTTCTTTTTATTTATAAAATATAATAGAACTTAGTCTAGAAAGTTAATATAAATTATAATCCTTGATTAAAAACTATTAAGTCTAGTAACCTAGTTTACTAGATAATATAATTTATAAACAGTCTCGCTATCTATTTTATATCTATTATCTTCTTGTATAGAATAGAGACTAGTTATTTCGATAAATAATAAATAATTATTATTATATTATTAAAACTATACTAATCTTTTAAAAGTAAGTAGAAATCTATTATTATATCTTACTAGAGGTACTATAGTATTAGAAAAGGTTATAATAGGCTAGAAAACCTATCCCTTTATATCTTTATCTACTAGTAAATTTAATAGTTTTTGATATATTATTAAATATCTTATACTATTTCTAGCTAATAATATTAAGAGAAAAGTAGATTTATTATCTTCTTTATATCTAGATAAATGTTTACTAATAATCAATATATCTCGTCTAATAGATAAGCTTTTAAGTTATTATTATTAGCTACAATTAATCTATTATTATATAATAAAAGATTATCTCTAAAAGTCTAATAGTTATATCTATTATAAACTAATTTTTAAAATTCTTTAAGATCTTTATTTATCTAGTTACTACACTTTATATACTTTATAATATCGTTTTTATCTTTATTTCTAATTAAGGCTATCTAGATCTTTTACTATTTATTATTATAGATATTATATTACTAGAATCTTTTAGATAATAAAATTAATTTTTTAGACTATTCTTTTTTAGATAAATTCTTATAAAAGAGAGTGTCTATAGCTATATTAAGTTTTCTAATTTGAAACTAGATCTTTAATTTATAATCTTTGAATAACTAATTTTATTAGATCTGATAATAATTTAATTACTATTTTATATAAAACTATTATAAGATATAATAATCTATATACAATCTAAAAGACTTTTTTTACTAGAAGCTAATTAGCTTTAATACTTACTTTTTCAATATATAAACAATAATAAAAAACTTATAATTATAAATCTTATATTTATGTTTTATATCTATTATTATATTAGATAGAAAAGTTACAAGATATTAATAATCTCTAGTCTTCTAGGAAAAGATATTATCTATAACCTCTTTTAAAATATTTATTTTAATCTTAATCTCTATTTTTAATTTATAATAAGTAAGAATAGATATTATTATTATTAAATATTTTAACTTATTAAATATCTTTTAATAAATATTACTCTAGTTCTAAAGAGTTGTTTATTTTATTAGGTTTATTAATAGCTTGATAATCTAGTTGAAATTTTATATAAAACGTTTATAGAAATTACAAAAACTAAAAAATGATTTTATTTGTTTAATAATTATTAGAAGCTTCTATTCTTATATAATAGATAATTTTAACTAGTCTATAGAAATATTATAAATTCTAATAATATAGTCTAGAAATTTAGTCTCTTACTTATAAAACTTGTATTTCCTAAGACTTATTTATAAACCACTAGCTTATAAATACTTTAAGATAATTTAAATATATTATATATACTCTTTAAAAATCTTGTTAAAGATAAGAATATTATTAATATAAATAATTGTAAAGTTATCTAAATAGTCTCTTTCTAGAATATTATTAATATAGTACTAGAAGGATATAAGACTATTTATTATATTAAATAATATCATTTTATATTTATATATATTATATCTTAATTAGAATGATATTAGATCCTTATTGTTAGGATATATCCTAATCTTATAGAATCTTTATTAAATATTTAATTTAATAAAGTAGTAAGCTTTTAACACTTATTATATTAGTTTCTTAATTAATAATAATAAATAGATATCCTTTCTTATTATATTATTAAGTTTACAAAAATCAATATAGAATTACAACCTACTTCTAGATTTCTTTATTATTAGAATCAACGAGAAATAAGATATTATACTTAATATAATAAAGCTTTTATTTAGATTCTTTTTAATATAGGTCTTTATAAATTTAAGATATTCTTATAATATTTTATATAATAGATAATAACTAAGTTTGTAATTGTTTAATAGTTTAATCTTATGATTAATATCTAGATAACTTAAAGGTAATATATTAAACTCTTTTTTCAAGAAGACGTTTATAAAATTATAGTATTCTTTAAAGATACCTATTTAAATAATCTCTAACTTAGTAGCTTTATCTTCTTATTCTTTAATAATATTAATAATTTTCTAGATCTTTTTAACAAAGGTTATAAAGACTTTTATACTATCTTTTTCTTTATAGTTCTATCAAATCTTACTCTTTTGATTTAGATAATCTCGAAATCTATTAGTAGCTTTAATAAGGATTATTCTTATTACTTATATTCTTGACAAAGCTTTTTTAACTCTAGTTATTATAACTCTCCTATTAGAGCTTAATATATCTTTAAAAGAGTTTTATCTATATAGGAATTATTATATATACATTTAAACTTAGGCTTATTAGTTATTATTACTCTCCTTATTATATTTTTCTAGTGTTTATAGTCTTTTTAATATTCTTTTGTAAATATAAGGTTTAGTTTCTTTAGAATTATAATAGGAATAGATCTTGTTAACTAGTTTATAACTTCTTTTTTATTTTCTAGATCTCTGTTGCTAGTAAAGATAGAGAAGGCTAAGTTATTATTAACTTTTTATAATTAATTATTATATTTTAGTCTATTAATTATAGATATCTAAGAATTATATTATATTTCTTTATATTAGTGATTAATATAAAGATCTTTTTTTAACAATAGCTTTTAATAATAAAAAAGATTGATATTTTATATATAATTAGTTTAGCTAGATAGTTATTAAAAATAGTAATATTTGACACGGTGAGCGGGGGGCCAGAAACGGCTCCCATTGCACCGCCGTCCTGCCGCCCTCGACCGCCTGCCCGTCTCCGCCATCCCCTTGCCCCTTTGGGTTTGGCGCCCTCACCCATGCCCCCGTTCGGGTTTAGTGCCGCCGCTGGCCGCTTTTACCGCCCCCAACACCTGCCCTCCATCTATAAAACACCGCTCGTCCTCTTCGCAGCTCTGTCGACGCACTTTCTCTTCTTTTTCCTGTCTGGCCCCCTCTCTCTCGGTCCCCACCAACTTCTGCGCACTGGCTCGCCACCTGATGCATCGCCCCTTTCATTTCACCGGAGATGTCGCTCGATCCACCGCTCAGCCGGCTCTAGCCAGCGTTGTCTGCACCACGGACCAGTCCCTTGCAAGTTGATGCTTCGACATCATGAAGCCCTCATCATCTTGTGTGCTATGATACCAGTTCTTCTGCCTACTTTGATTGTACTACAATGATACTAGCTCTCGAGAACACATGTTGTTTGCGAGCCTTTCTCGCTGAGCGCCTCGCTCACTCTGCTGGCTTTTTGCTCGGCCGGAGGACAGTGTCTCGGAAACCCACGACACGCACGTCCTGATTTGCCACATTCCATGCGAGGTTGCATCGTACAGCCTCCAGTAGTGAGGGCACGCCCTGGTCCGCTTGGTCGAGAGCGCCTCGGGGTAAGACTATCGTCATACTCGGTTTCATCTGGCCTTTGTTTCCCAGTCGACGAGATTTTGATCGACAACGCAGTGATATAAACCAATGGCGAAATTGCCGCATTCTTTCCTAGTGTCAATCAGTGCCAAGTACTGCGTCACGAGGCCGACGATGGTCCATTTTACAGATGGCCTCTAACCAAGCGTATAGATGAGCAACTGGAGACTAGGCTGACGGTCATAGTGGAGCCAGGTTACAATAGGACGCCACCAGGTGTGCGGAAGCTTTTGCCGATGGCCTTCGGTCCCTTGTTGTGCAACCGGTGTGGCTCCACGGCCTTGGATAAAACGGCTCGGATTGAAGGAAGTGGACCAACTCATATGCGCGGCCAAAGGCACTCCTCGTCTATAAAGCAGTTGGCAATCCTCTTCAAATGCTCAATCAGACAGAAACCCATCAATATCCCCTCTCCCTCCCCCCTCGCCTCTGCTCTGTATCCCATACCCCCATATCTCAGCGCCCCATTCTTATTCAGGTTCAAAACTACATCTGCAGGATTCTTCTGGCTATCCACCTTTCTCAACATGTCAAGCACCAATTTTCGCCTGGAATCGTTTCGTCCATGGAATCCTTTCCAAGACAAAGCTCAGCCATTGCGCGATCCCCCCGGTACTTGTCGCTACCCAAGTCCGGTTTCGATCACTACCACCCCGCCAAGCTCCAATTCTAGCGACTATGGCTCAAAGAGCCAAAAAATTCATTCCCACAAACCTGAGCGACACCCCCTTCCTGCCCGCCCGCCGACGGAGGTCTGCTTAGATGGATTGCATTCGGAGGCTCAACCCACTCGACGAGAATCGGAGGGCTTGGGTCAGACACTTTCCGCTGTCAGTGACCCAGAGCCTCTCAACTTCGAGAACATCTTGCAACCACAAAGCATAGTTGCTGCCGATGATTTCGTTTCTACAAGTTTTACCGATGATATGTATTGGGAAAAAGAGCATCAGTTCTTCGACTTGGGATTGGATGACCCGGATCCTGTCGGTTTTGCCGGTCAACATCCTCAAAGTGTTGATCTTGGAGCCCTTGCTCGAAATGGAGAGCCTCCAAATATTGAAACAATCGACCCTGCAATCCTAAACGACCATGACTCTCCAATTGCCGAGCAGGTCCAAACAACGACGAGCATCACCGACACCGCAGCAGATCCGAAAGAATGCCCCGCGAAGTCCACTCGCTCTCTGAACAAAGCCTCAACCCTCCAACGCAAACGATGGAACTCAAAGGGGACGCTTGACGCCGATCGCCAGCCAAAAAGAACGAAACGCTCGGGTATAACAAAAGGGCATACAGGAATTAGCTCTGATCGGTCGAACAAAAATTCCGGTCATGCTCAGAGCACTTCTTTCCCTACAGTTCGTGCTCAATTCTCGGCGCTTTCAGTCGAAGACCGACTACAGTTCCTGTCCTGGCTTTTTCAGGGTGTGTTATCTCATTGCGGCTCTACGCCTCCGAGCGCCGATGCCCATTCTGCACCGGGATGCATCTCAAGCCAATGTGATGACATAAACGACAACTGTGATCAGACGAGCTTGAACACACAGGTGATTGACGCGCAGCATACCTCTTCGAGAAAGGGACTATCGTGGTCTGTGGAGGAAGACCGCCTTTTGATAAAGCTTAGAGACAAGCAAAATCTCGCTTGGTCGGAGGTGGTCAAGCAATTTTCACAAGAATTCCCCGGGCGGAGCGAGGGGTCAATACAGGTGTACTGGAGCACAACACTGAAGAAAAAACGACTGGAGAAAAAACGGCCATCTTCCCCCATTGTTCTTATTGGATGACATATCAACATTGAGCTATTACCGATAGAAGCATCTAGAATATTTAAAACATTGTCTGTGTGGGGTTGATCAATTGCATGAGCTGCATAGTCGAAGACATGCCAAAGTGATTCATCGTCGCCACGCATAGGAAGTGAAGTTCATGGGGCCCAGGGCTCTGGAATTTGATTGGACATCGATTTGTGTTTTCTTTTATAATTTCAAAAAAATTGAATCCAGGGGTGATATAAGCACAGCGGATGATAGCGTTGGTCAATACCGAGGTTTATTTATTGGCTGTATATTGTAGAGGCATACAGGCTCTCAGGCTGGAACAATCTCAACGCGCACAACCACTCTAACTTAAGTAGATTTTCGAGGCGCTGGATACCTGGACTTGCCAGTATTCAGAATGGCGCATTAATGACAAGATGGTTGATTCTGAGGGCTATGTATTGCATGTTACGACACAGTTCTTCCGGTATGTTCAGATTTACCATACATGACATGTGGGTATGGGGATGGTGCTGAATGGCCATGTACGACAATACAATGCGGGGAACTCACGGTATTTTACCCCTCATCTGAAATGACATATGCTCGGGCGGCTCAGGGTAGATTCAGGGTAGATTCAGGGTAGGCTCAGGGTGGGCTCAGGGTTGGCTCAGGGTTGGCTCAAGGTTGGCTCAGGGTAAGCTCAGGGTTGGCTCAAGATGAGCTCAGGGTAGGCTCAAGGTAGATTCAGGGTAGGCTCAGGGTGGGCTCAGGGTGGGCTCAGGGTAGGCTCAGGGTTGGCTCAAGATGAGCTCAGGGTAGGCTCAAATGGATCCAGCGCCTCCCTCCTCGGTAGGTCAATCAATGGCCATACATACATCCATCAACGAAGAACCATGACGTTGTCCTCGCGTCCCCGCTGCTCAAAAATCTCGTAGCAAAAAGCATAAGAGATAGAGAAGATTTACAAGTGGATATCATACGGCTGAGCTTTTGAAGCTGGTTAGAGAATATGGGCGAGCCTTCCACTGTGCAATCGTCATGGGAAAGGATAAAAGTTGCCTTCAATACTCCTATTGGTAGCTGACTCGGAGACGAAAATAGAATTGCGAAGAATCTCGGGTGTGTCTTGGAATAACGCACAAGTCGGATATCTGGAGAGCCTTGACAATAAGTATCATGCGAGGTGATCAATGATGTCGCATTCTTTGAGATAGAAAATCCCCAGACCAGATGTGCGACTATCCTATCAAGCCAGTTAATTACAGTAAAGATGGACTTACCCAATGCGGTGCCGGCGGGTCAGTTCTCTCCATGGACAAGCGTGTCTGACGTTTTTGATGGAAGCATGTATCCCTAGCATGCCATAATTTTCTCTAGCCAGAAAAATAGCGGCAGCAAGGGGTTCAATTTAGTTTTTCTCATCAAAGTCGAGATGCTCTGATGAGTTTTTAGAAAACAGAGGAGCGATCTATTTTTACGATTTCGCGTATGAATTCAAAGTTGAAGCTGAACCGATGACAACGGCCCTGTCGGAGCATGCATGGGTTCTTTGAGATTATCACTAGAATGGTGGTGGAAGGGAACCTCTTTTCTTCAGCACATGGTTTTATTTTCTTTGTGAGGATCGGGCCTAATATGAAGTGGCAGATTGACAGAGGAAACAATGAGGAACCAGCGGATGTGATGGAACCTAAAGAAATATTGGTGTTGAATTATTTGAGTGTTTTCAATATTCCTGTCAAAGGGCCATGGGACCTCTAACTCTAGTCACCAACAGCAAGCAGACCCCAGGGCAGCTGTGAGAGTCTCACGTATACATATATGAAAAAAGTGTCTTCCAGATGAAGAGTGAATATCGATAAAAGCTATATTCGAGTCTTAAAAGACGTAGCGCGAGAAAGCAAAAGAGACTGGTTTACTCGCGTTCAGAGGGGAGGGATCCAGATTCACCATGTGGGTCCCGAAGATCATATCTCTATACATCCTGTGTGCTTCATGTATATCCCTAATAGCACCTGATGCAACTCCTAGGATACTCTTCTTGTCTTTTGCAAATTGAGAAACCGCTCTGTTAGGCCTTGAGAATGTTGGCAGTTCCAGTGTTTGGTCAGCGATCGCACAATGTGTCTTTCAGCCAGCTGGCGTATGGTACAGCCCAAGCACCAGCGATCCGTCACAGCTCTACGAGGCATTCTCGGGGTTCTACCGCGAGACTCTTAGGATGCATGATCGGTACTGTGGAGAACATTTTGATTACTCCTGGAACGAGAGAAGCATTTCCTAGGAGCTTCTCCTGGATCCACAATCCAAGTGTAATCATCAACAAATCTGGCGGCAAATTTAATGTGGAATAGTTCGTGTATAAGTAGTGCTTCTCTTTCGTGCGAGCCTCCACTATTTCACGCATAACTTTGCATTATTTCGAACGTACAGCCGGTGCACTCAATTTTCTGCGTTACAGTACCACCATCGCACCACCCACAAGCACCGCGGGTCATCTGCCACCAGTTGTTGTACCCACGATTGCGAATAGTCGCCACACATCTTTTTCAAGAGGTCCAGACTAAAGGTCTGTGCATTCTGCAGCTTTTTCTTCAATTCCTCCACTATGTCTCTTCGCTCCTGTCGGCCATGCCATACTTCGAAAATCCGATGCACCCGTGAAGTTCCTCATTGCCAAACTTGCGTCAAGCGAGGTAAATGCTCGATGTGCGTCTATGAAGCAAGCGTTCCAGACCGCAAAAGAGTGTCAGACCGGAAGCCTGCTCTTCCAGAGCCACAGCCAAAGCGGCAATTGCAAAAGCAAGAACGAGCATCTGGCGAGAAACACATTCGATGGAGAGCTATCGAGCCGCAACCCGAACAGTCTTTGCGGCACAAAAAGAGAACAAATGAAAGGATGCAGCACGCCATAGAGCCTACAAAGGAAGTAGATAACAAGGTTTTGGATCAAAGGTATTCTGGGAAGGACGGTTTGGCAGCTCATGAGACGCCCCCAAAGAGTATCGCGACTACAGTTGCGGAGAAAGCTTCGATTTTCCAACCAGAATATGGCCGTGCAGCCGATGAAGATATCCTTGAATGGCCGCGAAGCATATCAGTATCACAGCCAGCACAGCTCTATGCACAGATGACCCCTCCGGTAATCAATAATAACCTACGAGAAAGCCAGGACCACAAGGCTGACTGTTGACAAGACCTCTTTGCCTCCACGACCGAACTTCAATCTTACAATATCCGAGAGACACAGTTGCGGCCCACATACGACCCACCAATTGTTGTTGGTATTGAATTACCTTTTCATCTCTTCGATGCTTCCTATGGATTTAGGGGCTCTGTGGAAGGTCATATGTCGCCGTGACCGTGACTGGGAAGAGAGCTTTGTCTTGCAGCACGGTCAGCTTCAAAGGTGGCTGATCAGTGCGCGCAACGTTTTAACCAAGTCTGACGGGCTGCACACAGTAACATTGGCAGACATAGAGCTCCAAACAAGATATATTCTTTTCGTTATTGGGCAATATACATCCCCTAACTCGAGCTTTCTAGCTGAAACCTTCCAAAGCGAATATCCTCCGTACCGGCCGTTTGGGGCGAGGGCAAGCATCGCGCTAATTTGTCTTGTCTTTGAGGGCATTCGGGTTGATGAAATGGAAGGATATGAATCAAAGGAAATATGGACTCGCGACCAAAACTTCCTGAAAATGATGGCATCCCGGCTAAAGGAATCGCCGTTGTTTGGCCCTGAAGTTTCAATGCTCCATTTGCAGTCTATGATATTAAGCCTACAGAGGGCTTTCCAGTGTGAAGAAATTCGTGTTTCTAGCACGAAGTTCCGGACTTTGAGGATCGAAAGCCACTTAGAAGTGCTAGGATATTATCGACGGGCATTTCTGGCTTTCGACCCAACACTATTGCCAAAGATTTTGGCCTCATTGAGCAAAGCTGACGATATCACTGACAGCATTGGCCAGAACCAGCTTACCAATATGGAGAGGTGCTTGGACAGAAGTAAGTAAATCGATCTTTACGCTGTTATGGCATTTGACAAGAGTATAGCCAATTTGGCCTTGCGTCTGGCCAATATTTTCACATCACTTGCGCCAGAGTGTTTGGACGCTGCTTTCCAAAACATCTGCGAGATTCAGCAGTCAAAAGCTGATAAAGTCGTCGCTATGGAGATGATGCATGTCAAGTCATTCGAAGAAGCATACAAGTTGAACAGGATTGGTAAGTCCTCGTATATTGAATTGTAACAAAGAAATTTCTAATAGTTGCAGACCCTACTACTGTCCGTGTTTTCCATGTTTCCCCTTGAAACTACGAGCGGTTATCGGAACCCTAATACATCTCTTTTCAAGAATCCGAGATTGTATACCAATGTGTGGAAACCCAGATCTTTGCGTTGGAATCTATATAAGCAAAGCTTTTGCTCCGGAGACGAGTGAATAAAAATTGGCTCTTATTGATTCAGATTCAATTTTCTCATGACGGATTTGAACCAATTCTTGATCTGCCTCGGCGAATTCCTCTCAGAACACACAACAGTTGTCATATCCTACTTATTTTAGAATGCTGACCAAATGACATCTCCAGCGTCAAACATGAAACTTATTTGCATAAGAGCCCCAATAATCTGTGATAAACTCGAAGGAAAGGATTCGCATAACAACATAAACACTCCAAGCAACAGGCATCGTTCATAAATTTGTAATAGTGAAAGTGAGCACCGTGCACTTGTTGGGAAGGAAAGAGATAGTTTGTGATCGTTTCTAACAAGACTACGTTAAAAATTGTTGTATACAGTATTCCACAGGATGGAGAAGTTCGATAATGTGATTGACTTGACTATAGGTCAATTTCCAGATCCATATAGCCCCCAGAAAGCCCCACGTAGCTCTGGAGCCTTCTAACGCCACTTAGGCATAAAGGTATGTTCCTGCTGACAGCTTCATAATCCCCCCCCCCTATGAGGCTCTCACGTATGCATAGAGGTGGGTAGCGTCTCAAGATGAACGATTAGTATTGAGGACAAGTACATGTAATCGACTCCCTATACAAGACATGGCGCAAGGAAGCAAAAAAGAGAGGCAACCTCATGTTCGAGGGAGTCCGCATGCACCATGTAGGTCCCCCATATCATATCTCACCTCATCTCATCGTTCATATGTACTTTATGTATCTCGCTGACACCCCTAAGTCTAAATTTATGGGACAAAAAGATTAGCAGAAATTGAGTTGAACCGGTCAGCCATTCATCTTGAGGGCCAGCCATCTTTAGATCGTCAACTTGCGCTTTGTAGTATTGTTGACGGGCTGCAATAAGTGAGGTAAACGCGGTGAAAAAAATGCTGGTGATGAAACTGCAATTGAATCAATTATATTAAATCGTGAACTTTTCTAGAAGGCATATTGAAAGTTGTTTGTGCTATCAAGAGAGTGACATTGTTTAGTAAATGGATAGAACCACTTTTTGCAGCTCCATCAACTTCATCAAATGCAGTTTTTGTTCTTGTGAAGTCGATTTCCCGGGTCATCTTTGCCGTAAGCCAAAGTTGAATTTCCGTTTGGCGTTTGGGGGATTGTATTCGAAATTTGGCTCCTACGCTCCCACTCAGTTTTTCTTAGTAGAGAAAAAACCACGACTTAAAGAATCATCTGAAAACATCATATGTTGATAATGCGCTGTATCTATGGAAACGTGTACCTTCGTTAGGCTAAAATTCATTAGGAGATTGCAACGGAGCCGAGCATTCCAGGGCGGATATCCTTCAAAGCCACCCAGCACATCATACCGTCTGACCCTATCGTTCGTGTAGCTGCTCAGCAAGAGCAATACGATCTACATTTGTCGCCTAAAAATACAAAAGATGCTTTCTCGGATGATGCTCCTCAACTGTTGGATCTCCTTTGCCTCATTTAATGAATCCTGGGTGCGTTCAGTTTGAGGGCAACCTAGGAAGTACGAGCGAAAGTAACCAGTCGGTAACAAAGTGCATGGTGACATTCTCAAATTCTTTATCATATGTTCCTATTTTACCTTTCTGAATACGTTTGTTTACTTCCATAGGAAAAGGAGAGAACAAAATGGTGAAATAGATTTCGATCCGCCCTGTATGTAAGCAGCACGTGAGACACTTGAATTCTTGAATCTATTATAGAGGAGTTACCCCTTCTCTCTTGCCGCAATAGTTTTGCCTCCTTCATAATCAACCCTCTTTTTATTTCAGACATACTCTATCCCGCTATATATACACCTTTGCCCTACCAATTTCCTACAAAAGGATGACTTCTCAAAAAAGGCCGGCCACCCTCTTGCCGGAAGAAACCTACATTGACGATCACTCGGATGAAACCAACACTGAATGGGAGAAGATCACGCAAGACTCAGTCGTATTTGAAAGAGAATGCATTGAAGATGATCTCACCGAGCAGAAACGAGTGATTCTATTGCAGGAAAATCCTAGCAGCAGAAGCCACTGTCGCTACTGGGGCTGTGTTCCTACAAAGTTAAATGGAGAACCTAACATCCGATCTGCCTTTCGATTCAACTTGAAAGACGTTTCTGGTCGGTACTATGGTAAGTCCTCACATTCCGCAAAAGCCAGTCTAAAGTCTCACGAGCCGTAAGAAACGAACCAGTACTATCATGTGTCATGCCTGGAGCAAATATATCCTGACCTGGGTGCCTTGGTAGAGCGCGGGGCCATGAAAATGGAAGGGGGGGTCAATCATCTGAACTCAGCCAGCTGGAAACTATCACGCTTCCACAACGCCATTGAGGATTGGTTCCGCTATAATGGCCGCACTTTCGAAGTGAAGGCATACGATCGATTTCAAAGAGAACATGCTAATTGGGACCGAAAAGCCAGCACGATGGAGATTAAACATCAACTCAACACTCATGGGGGTAGTTCAAAGAATTGTGAGAAGTGTGGAGAAATACCGGATGAACCGCTGAGGAGAGATTATTTTCCGGAAGAACCACGCAGCAAGTTACTAAGTGAGGTTCTCGCCTCTGTGATTAGCGTGCCAAACTTGGATGAAGTAGATGGAAGCTTGAATACTCACTGTGGTAAGAAGATTCGGCGCGGGTAGTGGTATATTTGTCGATCATGTTCTTGCCTCCTTCTGTCACTATGAAATTTCATTAGATGTAGCTTGGGCTACGAGATGCCAGGGAACGACTAGCAAACAAGAGCATGATCCCGTTGATGAGCTATAACTGATTTTGAGTAATACTTTATCCCCACTTTTACAAGTTTATTGAGTCGATGTAGGGCCAACGTTCAACGATTTTCGCGTATCAGCACAAGTGACCGTGACCCGCAGCTCGACACAGCTAACACAAGTGGGGCTTGAAAAAGAAACCCATTATTTCTAGGGATGAAATCGTAGGCACTATCTGGTGATTCAACGTTGAGTCGCTCATAGATGAGGTGATCAAAACACGGAATATGAGCCTGATTGCGGATTGAATATTTCCCACAAAGCCTCAATTTAAGGGGCCGTAGCAGTCATCCAACGTTTCTTGACCGACTCACCATCCTGTTTCTCAACACCACTCTTACTGGTCTCACTCGCTGAGCTTCTAGGGGCATCAAAGTATCCCTGCAAATAGTTGCGGTAAAAAGAAGACGTGGGTTTAAACAGCCCTTAACAAGGATAGATGCCGTCAACGCGTCCTACTAAGCAGAGCACTTGCGCAATAGAAGGAGCCGAGAGGTCTATAAATACGTCCTCTACCCCCGGCAATTTGCTCTAAAATTTATTCACTTGACTACACAACGTCGAGCAGGCGTGTGTCTGAGTCACTTAATAAGTCCTTTCCCACTTGCCCCAGTACTGAAATTTCCACTGCATTGACATTTTTAGAATACAGTGTGGACCAGCAAGTCAGACAGTGCCTGTAAGAGATATGAATCCCACCAGATGCACTGCCATTCACACCAGCCGATTCAAGATACGAGGTTTGGATTAGCTGGTCCAGGTGTCTATGCGAAGATGCCTCCGCCACAGCAGCCGACTGAGCTGATCTACTGCACAGCCGCTATGTATAATCCAAGAGAAAGCGCGATGATCCATGTCGAGTCATGTGAATCTTAGCCTAACCTGTCTCACTGATCCTGAAGACGATGCGATTTCCATAGAAACGAGAACATTCGACCACGTTGCACGAGCGCAAGAGTCGCATCTCTTTGCCGTCTCTTCGTCCCTATTTTTGGCTACCAGAACATGTGAGTCATGAATTATCTCGCCGATCTGAAAGCTAATGAATGACAGTGAACCAAGGACCAAGGACATCGCATTAGAGTGCCCCCGAGGCTACAGCACTCCCGTTAGTGCTCTGCACGAGCCATGGCTTACAAATCTTTCCTGATCCCGTCGCTTAAGACTAGCCAGCATAACTTAGGTGGAGTATATACCAATAACAGGTATGGACATTCGATTGCGAGCTTCGCTGCAAGGAAGTCCATTCTTCCTGGTAATGTGAGTGAATTGTCGCGCCCTCTGCTGCGCTATACCAATTATTTGAGCAAAATTTTGTGCTCCAAAACACGAACAGCATTACTGATTTTTATGCCATTGTACATAGGAGCAGCCCATTGCCACTGTGAAACACCCCTGTTGGGAGTCCCATCGCCGGATCGGAGATAAGACCAAGGGGCAACACTACGGCGCGCGTGCTCCATCGCGTTTTTCCGCGTCTTCCGCCTCGACCTCACCGCCTTCACACTGAACCGCGGAGTGTATGAACCTCTCGCCGTCCGCGTCGCGAGGTGCTATCGCTTTACGACTGTACAATTTATTTCCACAGGTGAAATCATCACGTGACTTTGGCTCTACAAAGGTGCCCGGTGTACCCAGCGCGTCTTCTTCGAAGCGACAACCGGAGAGTGCGACGAACTGGATACAACATCATGTCAAATGGCATGGATGGTGACTGCATTGATGAAGACAATTGTAAGTGATCTCGTCGGTAAGATATGACCACGGAGCTAATTGATCGTTTCGTCTTAAGCGAACGTTCTGCGAACTTTATGAACAGGTAAGTTATAAAATCTCGCCCAAGTGGTAAGCTTGCTGACTCGGATCGTACGACAGCGCCCCTTATATTCCCGTCACTCGAGTCGAATGCGATGCGAGCAATCTTGTCTGCTCGAGCTCCCCTATGCCGATGCGATCGCAAGCTATATGTCCCTTCATGTCCACTGGTGGCCTAGACGAGGAATGACTGGAAGGTTCACATCGTCTCGGCCCTTCTCTCAGTCGACACTATGCATCAGTAATGTGCTGATGTGTCTACCGATACAAAGTCCAAGGCATAATGGGCTAAACCACTGTCTATCTCGGTATTCGAACACCGCGAAAGAATAGGTTCCTTGTGGATCGAATTCCTGGCGTCCAATGGGTGATCCTCGCTGTCCTCGGTTGGCATCTCGCGTCTTTTCAGTCCTGGAACTCCAAAAGACCGAGGAATGTCGTGGTTTTGTCCTCGGCCCGGCCTTTTGGAGCAACGGCCGGAGAGTGCGACGAACCAGAATACAACATGGCATGAATGGTGCTGCATTGCCTTGCCGAAGAGGATTGTAAGTGATCTAGTCGGCAAGTTCATATGACCACGAATATCGCTGATCGTCTCGTCTCAAGCGTACAAAGCGTGCCCTCTGCGAACTCTATGAAAGGTAAGTCATAACAACTCGTCAAGTGGTAAGCCTGGCTGACCCGCATCGAACAACAGGACGCCCTCGTTTTCTCTGCTCGAGCTTCCCTATGCCGATGCGATCGCATGCTGTCTATCATTTCCCCATAACTACTGGTGGCATCGATGATGAGCCAATGTAAGGTCCAGATCGTCTCGGCCCTTCTCTCAGTCGATTCTGTGCATCAGTCATGTGCTGATGTGTCTACCCGATGCGAAGCTCAGGCCATAATGGGCTTATACCATCGTGTCTCGGCATTCGAACACCGCGAAAGAATGGTCTCTTTGTGGATCAAATTCCTGACGTCCCATGGGTGATCCTCATTGTCCTCGGTTGGCATCTCGCATCTTTTGATGCCTGGCAGCTCGAAAGGCACCGGGATGAGCTCATGTTTTGATCTGACTCATGGCGGATGAGTCCTCTTTCACCAACGAGCAGGCTGTGAGTCTAAGTCTGCGTGCAAGGAGAAGATGGGGTGGGACCGCATTATTTCGAGCCCACAGATGAACATTGGCCATATCAGGTACGAACCGATAAAAGGAGACGGTAGGGTGTCGAGTCATAGCCGAGTCAAAGCACGAGCAAAGAGGTGCCGTCCGATAGTTTCACCTGATCCTACTCCGCGTTGCTGAGCCTGTCGATGTCTTCCAGCGGGTGGAGCTAACAAACGAAAACGAACAAGTGAACATGAATCAACTGGACATGAATCAACTGGACATGAATCAACTGGACATGAATCAACTGGACATGAATCAACTGGACATGAATCAACTGGACATGAATCAACTGGACATGAATCAACTGGACATGAATCAACTGGACATGAATCAACTGGACATGAATCAACTCGACATGAATCAACTCGACATGAATCAACTCGACATGAATCAACTCGACATGAATCAACTCGACATGCACGACGCTGCATCAAGAGCACCGTCAGAACAGTTGTGGTGTCTTTGGATATACGCTGGCTGGATCTGATGCCTAAGAACGCGTTTTTCTATCCAAGCCGAGTTACGTGTGCAAAGACCATTTGCCCTGGATGTCACTGCATCTACAGGTTAGTTAACCCGAGCGCGTGTATCTCTCACTGAAATCGTCTTCTGACATATCGTGTGCAAGCGGTTTTCTCGGGGAATGGCTGAGCTCTCTACGTCCCCTACCTCGACTTTCCTTGAGCATCAATTATTTGTCAGACACCGCGCTTTGGACTGGTATATCACTGTTCAAGCAGATTCTTTGTGAAGGTGAGTTGGAAGTCTGCACAGCTTTACTCAGAGCCATCCTCTGTGCGACCTCTGACTATCTCTGATTGCCTATGCTAAAATTCCTACCCCTAACCAGCATTCAAATGATTGCTTTCGGCGGGATTGGTTACGCGCATGTCTGCTGCGGCTCCAATTCAATCAGATCGCATCACCAAAGTCCGTCGTAAATGCTGGCGGAATCGTCTTTGCCAGATCTGGTCAAGATGGCGCTTGCTAGACCCGATCGGGCTGCAAGCATATTCTCTACACAGTAGAGTATGCTCGATCGCGTGAACTCGGGTACTATGCCCAAAAAGCAGTGGTTTCCAATTTGAGTCCGGTGTGGTTGCTACATAGGAGATGGGCTCGCAATATGAATCGTAATTGCTGTAACTGACCAAGGTGCGACGGCTCCCATGTAGAAGTAGCCAATCGGAAATTTTTGAGTCAAGCCCCTTTCTGCGTTTTCTATTATTGGGAATCCAGTTTGACTCGCGACCGTTGTGGATGTAGGCATTCTACAGCAGAGTGAGTGACTTGCAAGTCGCCTGAAGCGGCAAATTTGACGACGCGAGGAACAGTCTATCGCATCACCATAATTATCTGAGCAACAGAATGTATTTCGGGCGCGCAGATGGGCTATGGGCCTAAAGTAGAAGCTCCCCGGCTTTCTTGGGGGCCCAATGGGCCGAAAACAATACAGACATGCCAATTCTTGGCATTTGCATAAAAATGCAGATTTTCCCAGTATCAATTATCTGTGGAAACGGACACTAATTGTGAGAGATTACCTAGCTTTTGGTATAAAACTAAATTCTATAAACCTACAAATGAGGAGTTCCACCATTGAAAATGTCATACTTGAACAGGAAGATGCACTTAATTCTGTTTTTGTGAAACACATATATCTATGTGCTGACGCTCACGAATTCTCTAAGTGCCAGAATAGTACAAAATCCTGGTAAAATTCGACTTTTCCTTGATAATATCTATGTAAACGGGTCTACAGTGTCGTTTTTGTTTTCCATGACTTTTATTACCAGGTCGTTGCCGTTGATTCTTGACATCTTGTTTCTTGGAGTAGTTGAACCCCCGGATTGGGCCGGGGAAAACGTCGGGCCGAGATCTGGGTTTATACCATGCACTAAAAACCAACATTAATCAGCAGGGTTATGAATGCCAATACCGTAGTTGTGTGCATAGAAATGAGCTTGGTTGGGCTTTGCTGAAGTCTAGTGACCATCACTCAACTTCACCGCCTGGCCATATACCACAATACACACATCAACACCTCGTCCATACTATCGTCAACGTTCATCAACACCCAAGAACGTTCATCAACGACCATCAACGACCATCAACGACCATCAACGACCATCAACGACCATCAACGCCCGGTCAACATATCCACGACGCACCAAAATACTGACCATTTTGTTCGCTCCACGCCCCGGATGGCAGATACATTCTATTGCGGCGTGGAAGACTAGCCGACCGCAAACCATGAAGACAGGAGGGTTGGGAATACGGCACTCGATAACGAAGGTTGAATCATGAAGTTACGATTCTGATATTGGTTCGCTTCTACCTAGGGCTCATTTTATTTCTCCAATGACGATCATTCGAAATACAAAATACGTCATCAAGATGGTGCGCAGGTCTTTGCTTCTTCGAGTACTCCTGATACCCGAATACTGGTCCCTAGCACCACGAAGAGGTGCCTGCACGGGCTAGAGGGGCTTTTTGTCGCAGATGTCCCTGCGGAGACTCTTGGTTTCGCAGATGTCCCTGCGAGGCGCTTTGTTGACGCAGGACCTAGTCTGCGGAGAACTTGGTAATGCAGCGGTCTCCTGCAGAGAACTTGTTAATGCAGCGGTCTCCTGCGGGTCTCACTTGTCATCACAGCGTCCCCCTGCGGAGTTCACTTGGTAACGCAGCGCCCCCCTGCGAGGATTATTGTTGACGCAGACCTATCCTGCGAGACACACTTGATGACGCAGAGCCCGTCCTGCGAGGCACACTTGATAACGCAGAGCCCGTCCTGCGAAGCACCTTCTTACATCGCTGAGCTCGTAGCAGCAATAGCCCTGGCCATGGAGACCCTCAAGCCCGTAAGCAAGAGTTACACCATGACACATGGGAGTGTGAGGACCGAAGTCCTGATTTTTTTGAGCTGGGAATCCGGCTCCTTTTATATTTTTTCGGCTACGTCTTTACCAAGGAACCAATTGCGCAGATGGTAGCGAGAACCACTGTCTCGTTGATAGGCGTTGAAGCGAGCTAAACGTCGTGGAACTGGTCTTTGGAGACTTTGTGGCCAACAGAGTCAAGTTTCAACCTGGATTCATTCCTTTCAAAAACCTGCGTTGAGTGTGGCTAACCACTTCATCAACTGTTGAAAAGACAGTGATACCGCAAGACAATGTTTCTCGCATCATTGAAATTGCAATTAAATCGCTCAACGCGGTGGCACTCCATCTGCCCGTTCTAGCCACGTTCACCGTCTCTTTCATGAAGGTTGAAGTGCTTCAACGGACGTTGAAATACTGCGTCGGAGACTTTGTGGCCGACAGTCACGCTCGATTGTACCTGTGTTTGGCCTGTTCCGTCAAGAAATGATCCCTTTGGGTTGACTGGAATCCATAATGTCGAATCCCTACATTTTCTGCGGTGAACGCTTTCAGAAATTTCTTAGGCTAAAAGTAAATACCACCTAGACAAGATTTCCATGGATCATCAAACGTTCCCAATGAAGTCGGTCAGCGTGCTTAAAGTCTAAAGCAGACTTAACTTATCTGCGGAAATTCCCCAACTATTTTCCAAAATTTTCCATTTTCTTTCTAAGGCTCGCATAAAAAAGAATCAAGTGATGGAATCCCCCGATCGTGTCCATCGAAATCTTGATCATGGGCCTTGCAGTTATACTGAAAAAGTCCTGGAAATGTTGAAAGACAAAGCTACAACGGGAGATAAATTTTGTCATGCGAATGAATGCCACGGACGTCGTGGCAGTAAGGTTTCATTCAAGCGTGGTCGGGAATCGGAGTCAGTCGACGGTCTGCCCTCAGGGCTGCGCCGACATGCAAAATATGCAGCTGAGCAGTAAGCAAACACCTCCAATATTGCTAGCCATCATTGTCGCTGTCTAACGGATAATTTGCAGGCCTGCCGACCGAGTGAAGTAAGTGCACCTTTGATGTCTGGTGGCAAGAGAAAGAAGGGCTGACAGAAGGGTACAGACCAGAGAGCAAGACCCCCAAACGCTTACTGAAGAGAAAGACTGCCGTCGATGTGGAAATCCTCAAAGAGGAGATGGAGGATGTTAAGAAGACGCTTGCATCTCTTCAATCGCTTTTGACTGAACGATACAAGAAAAAGCGGGTTTCTTTTGCAGAGGATCTTCACTGAACAACTCAAGCGTGTCGAGAAGTCTGATGCAAATCTAATCCTACAGTATTCTGGTACGGATCTGGAAATAAATCGTGAGTTTTTCGAGTGGAATCGGTATCAAAATGTATTGTAGAAGTGACAATCTGATACGATAAGACAGCTGTATGACCTGCTTTCGCTGTTCAAGTCCTTGCCAACCAATTTTACTAATTACCCGTTCCCTAGTCCACTGAAACCTCACGCGTCAGTGGTCAATCAATTTGAGATGTCATCGTTCTCGTGATGGAGTATGTCAATTCTTGTGGTCCGCGAATAGCCAGATCAATTGAGTTTCGACGACTGTGGACGGACCAGAAAAGGCCACTCTTCGTCTCAGTACACTCCGCAGTCTAGGGTTCCGAAAGGAATAAAGGAATGCGAATATACAACATAATCATATTCGCAGTCCGCGAATATGAATATATGAATTTTTTATTCGCGCGAATAAACGCATTATTCATATTCGCATTCATATTATTCATATTATGAAATTCCTCCGCATTAATACTTTGTCCGGTACAGCGGTTATCGTATTACCGAAATGCGCTTAGTGGTCGATTTCACAATACCATCACTTCATCAGCAAAGCTAAGCTATGAATTTCCATTGCGAATATATGCTGGGAGGTACAACCTACCTATGTAGAGTTGACCAGCTTGATATACCATAGTGGATCTTTTTGAGACATGATACTCGTTCACGTGGGTCTGTCCATAGAAACTTGACACCGGCCACGAAGATCCGTTAATATTATATATATCTGTCAACCTAGTTGCAAATCATCTTAGGCAATTAAACGAATAGCTCTTCTCAGTTCCCTGATTTTATTCCAATACACTCCAAACTTGGTACACAAAGTAGCTTTGAGAAATAGCACGTAAAAACGCGTTTACTCCACGACCCAGAGCCTCCAATGACCCTGGCTGCATTTATTTACATTTAGAATCGTCAATATCGCGTTGCAGAAAACAGAAAAGAGATCTATCAACTTTCCACGTCAACAAGGGCATATAAAGCGTGAACATGACTAGGCTTATCAACCATCATCCTATCCTCAAATCCCCTATCAGTTTCTAACCCCAGCCCAGGTAGCTCAAGGTATATAATGCATCACCGTCGATACCATTTTAATATACTAATACCAGGAAACAGTAACATGGTATTTATACCTAATCCGTCCATACAAAGAACGCGTGGTCTTCCACATCGAGACTATAATACTCTACACAATAGCCTGGTTTCATCACCTTCAGAGCAGTTTAAGGAATCCACCTTTAAAACAGGACGCCCTTACTCTCCTAAGCCTTCCCCACCTAGGAACACCGAAGACACGCCTCAGACGAAACAGTCTTATTCTTTGCTTAGCTCTTCCCCCTCCCCGTTTGATCCTACATTTTCAGAAAGCAGGAGCAATACTAGTAGTCCGCACCCACATAAAAAACAAAAAACCAAGTCGTATTCTAGTTGGACTATTAAGCACTTTTAGACCACAGATCTAGATAGCACTTAGTGTCAGCAGGGTGGCCCACTAAAAAAAGACCGACTACTGATTTGCAAATATTGCAGCTAGTCCTCTAGAGATTCGTCACGCTATAATTCCACTTCAAATTTATTGGTGCATCTCTAGAAAAAGCATCGTATCAAGTCTAGAGCTGACTCCATCTTCTTACCCGCGGTCGAAGGAAATCTCAACCAGTTCTTGGAGTCGCTGAGAAAGAAGGTTGGCGTTGAAGAAATACTAGTCCGATAAGTCATTTAAACAAGACAGCCTTTTACAGTAGTAGAGCATCCAGCTTTCAAGGCACTTATTAAAACAACGGGGGCTTCTTTACCCATCAAGACTGCTAATACTCTTTTTAACCGAATCAAAGAAGAATTCCATTCAAGTAGGGCTTCAGTAAAAGAGGAGCTTACCAGGAGTAGCCGCACACTCGCTTTATCTCTTAACGTTTAGACATCGGAAAATCAGATTGCGATAATAGGTATCTTTAGCTATTGGATCACCCCCGATTTTAAAAAGCGAGATGAGCTTCTCAAGTTCACCAAGATCAATAGGCCACATTCTGGAGAGAATCTAGCAGAAATTGTATTAAAGATACTCGCCGAATTAGACATCACACCAAAGCTCCTAACTATCATAGAAGACAATGCAGGTAATAATGGGACGCTCTGTGATAGCCTGTATAACCAGCTCCTCAAGAAGTATAATAATAACGATAACCACTTTCGCATTAGGCCTCTAATACAATTCCGCAGACAACCAAGCTTCATTCCTTACCTTGCCCATATCCTCAATCTAATTTACAAAGATATGTTAGCTTCTTTAAGAGCTAGTTCGGCTCAAGAAGCAAAGGCGATCCTAGACGACATAGCCATTCATACTAACCCAGCATTCAACTCCATTCACAGCACAAAAGAAGCAATCATAAAAATACAACTTCTGACGCTATAGATCGCCCGTAACCCACAGCGCCACCGGGATTAGAAAGAAGTATCACCTAAAAAACAAGTCAGTTATGATGTTGACACCCAATAGAACTCAACATATATCATGATTCAAGATACCCTTCAGCTACAAACTGAGCTAGGACAGTTTGTGCGGATACATCCAGAAATTCAGGCCCTCCAGCTTACCGATAACAAGTAGTCGACACTTCAGCAAGTAGCCAAGATCCTCAAGCCATTCTAGGACCACACAAACTCTATTTCAAAGACATACCCAACAATTGTAGAAAGTCTACCAATTTACTGAAGTTTAGACGATTTGTTAAATAACATTCGAAATGCGGAGAGAGATTTTGAAGACGTGAACATTGAAATTCGCAATACAGTGGAAAGAGGCATTCATAAAATAAACAAGTTTACTAGGAAAATAGACGACAACCTTCTTTACTATATAGCTTCCGTGTTAGATCCGCGCATCAAATCGTCTCTAATTATGTCTCAAATAAGCGAGCAAGATTCAGGGCTTATCGTCTCGCAAATACGGGAATTTCTTAAAAAAGAATACCCTCCAGAGCCATTTACGTCATATGAAGTTGACCATCCACGTCCAGCAAGGATATCGGAAACAATGTAGAGAACTCTGCGCAAAGTCCAGCCATCCAAAGAGACATCTTTGTCGGATATTGACAAGTATTTAGATTCCCCGCCGGTCAACTGGTCCCACCACATGATCGGCGATACAGACGCAGAATAGGTCCTAAAATAGTAGAAGGCAAACGCCTTTAATTTTCCACTCATAGCAAAAGCCGCTCACGATTACCTACCCATCCCTTCAGCAGAAATCGGGATTGAGCGCGAGTTCAGCAATGCTCGAGATGTCTTGGGCCTCCGAAGGCACCGTCTGAACGCGGAGACTATGCGATGGCTAATACTATTGAGAGGAAAGTCTCAGACATAAATCTCCACCGGTGCATGCATGTAATTTTCAGTACTTCGATATTAAAGACAGGCACATAATTCGCTATGGAATAAAGTGTCTGAGCATGATTGATGTATTCGAATGTAATGAAACGAATGGTAATGTATGGTATTTTATTATATGAATAAATATGAATTAATCATATATTCATGAATATTGCGAATATGAATAAAGGGCTTATTCATATTCATATGATTCAATTCATATTATTCATATTCGCAAATATTCATGAATATTCATGAATAATCATATTCCTTTCGGATCCCTAAAAATACATAGCACGGATTCTGATATGCGATTCAATTGTTGCAGAAAAACCTCAAGCCACAGATCAAACCTCGTCTAGTATTCAAAGTCACCCCACGGCCTTTGTTTTAAATCCAGCTCAACCGGTTATCCTAAATGGTCTTGACAGGCCAAAGACACAAAGCTCCCAAAGTGTCAAAGCCATCGAACTGAAGACTGTCGAACAGAAGAGACCCTCCACTGCTGCTTCCACTCCTGCTCTGCACTGGTTTCCTCAGCTCGGGATTTATCAAGAGCCACTCTCAATAAAACAATAGCTCGAATCAGGCGCGGGTCACCAGAAGGGCTTTTTGCGGGGTTGAAATGATACTGCAGAGCAAGACTTTGGGTTGCGTCCATTGTGGTGCTGACGAGTTGGTGGAAGCTCTCAAAACACTTGGAATAAAAATTGTTCTCAAGCCCCTGCTGACTATGTTGTTGCATTCGTTCGGCCTTTAACTCCAAAATCGACATTTGGGGTTGTGTTTTGGATTTTCTCAGTCGCGGCCGTGTGGTTTCCAAGGCCATGGTAGACCCACGAGCCATAGAGATTTGGTGGTCCAGTAGATTTATCTCAGGAAGAGATGGCTTGATTTGTAGGTTAGTTGGTATGGTAGTCATAGGGATAGCATCTTTGGCCGTGTCGGTGGATCGACTGTAGATGCTTGAGGTGGTGTCGCCAGAGCGACCGCAAATTTGTTTTTGAAAAGGGTTCATCGGATATCGATCGCAGACTGACGTCTCAGCTCACTGAAACCGAGATTGGTCTCGAGGTTCGCAGGCCTTTTAAGAACGAAAGGTCTGTTTTATGGGCGAACGCAGTCGATTGGTGCTCTTGGGTACTTTCTCAACGGCTTTCCTCACATTCTCACCACCGTTGGCGGACCTCGAATTCTTAGTCGTAGACCAGCACCGGCAAAGCACCAAGCCAGCCTGTTGATAATCCCAACGATGTTCCTAGGCGCCAATTGCACCGCCATTTTAATAGGTGGTATATTGGAGATGGCGCATGGTTCTTTGCCACCGAGTGACCTTCATGACGATTTTATTTGCAACGCCCTACTCGCAATATCTAGATTTTCACAAACAAGGGCGGCCATCACGTGTATGTATAGGGCGCAAATACAGACACGGCATGTTGGAGTTTAGATTCAGACAGCCTAAGCATAATATTGATTTGTTTTGATTGTTCCCAACTGGTTTTATTGCCAGGGTAAACCAGAAAGACAGAAAGGGGCGGGGAAAGCGGCAGACGAGACTGGGCACGGGCCCCGTCTTATTGGATGCCAGAGTTTCCTGGATTTCCCGTCTAGCCTAAATTGAATATTGCTTCTAATGTTAACTTTTATCTTCCTAGAACACCGAATGACAAATCTACACAGCTCAGAGCCGCCGTCTTTTCTGCCCAACAGTAGGCTCCAAGAAGTGGACTAGTCGCTTTGACCCACGATAGCAGTAACAAGATCTCCGTGGCGGCCAATCTAGGATTTGATGATCTGCACGTCCAAACTGAGCGTAAGCCTTCTGCTCATCGAGAAATTCTAGCGTCGATTTGGGGAAGCCGCCAATCTTTTCACGAAAGGTATCATTGGCAATCTCAATTGAGACTCTTTCCTCAAGGCTGGTGACCCGAAAAGCAACGCCCTTTCTGAAATATCCACAAAGTTGGCAAACGTCGACTGGATCTATGCTTCCCAAATCGTGGTCCTGACCAGACCGAAACCTGGCGCCGGGGAACTCGACAAGAACTCGCTGCAGGATGTCGGTAGGGTTCGGTCGTGAACAAAGAACAGATCCCCGACAATAAAAGGAAGCATTGCCCTGGACGGGAGATTCATCTAACTCAAAGAAAAACATGGCCGACGCAAGAATGCTCCTCACAAGCTCAGCTGGCACTGCAAAGTCCATATTCGACATTATTTCCAGCGAGCACGTATCGTCTAATGCTGGCAGTGTACCATCGATGGCCTGGTCCAGCCGGAAAATATCGGGTGTCGACGAATGGGGAAGATAATTGAGAGCTTCCAAAAACCCTTGCCTTCCATCCATAGAGGGAGAAGACATCATGGCCCGAAACAGTCGGGGAAGAGCACCCTCCCGAATGCGATCAAGAAAACCAGTTGAATCGCTGGGGCTAGACGTGGAGAATCCTGTTCCGACAGATAGGAGAAGGTCGTGCCTTTTCGCCATGGGCCAGATAATGCCCGACTCTCGCAAAGCAATGGCTAGCGGATTGTTCGCCCGAACCCCACCATCTTGCAAGAGACCAAGGCCTGGCAAAGTTTTGGTCTGGAAGTAACTAGAGAGTGTCAGCGCGATACTATGTCTCATGGTGTCTGAACTCACAAGGGTGCTGCAACACTGCATATAGCTCTGTCAAAAGCTAATCGTTAGCAAAATCGGCTACTACTATTCACATTGGGTGCACTCGGACAGTCGACTTACGCTTCCCATAGAAAAGGATCCTCCCGGTCATCATGTGGCGCCAAAAATTGATAGGCGGTATTTGCGGAACGTGGGCTTTTTCTTCGGTAGTTGGCCAATACGCAGGCTTTGCCATCGGAGGTACGACTTGCCACAATAGCGATCCGGCAACCCGCAGGGCTAGCCGTGGCAACATCGAACATGCGGCGAGATGGGCCAACGGCTGCTTTGAAAATTTGTGACAGCCCATCGGAATCATAAAGACCATCTGTGATCAGGTTGAACGCCGAGGCAAGCCACCGAATAGAGCGAGGGACTGGGCTATTTGAGGAAGGACGAAAGATATTTCGCGCAAGGTCGGGGAATGCATTGAAACATTGCGTGACTGAAGATTGATTGAGAATGATGTTAATAGTGGATAATGCGCCTGAATCGCCAGTTTTGTTAGTCTATCAACCATAATCACTCGGCCAGTGGTCGTACGTACCTACACTAGTTCCAGTGCACAGATCTGGTAGAGATGCGATCGGAACACCAATGCGCCTTTCTAAAGCTTGTAGAAGGCCTAGTTGAATCAGACCGCGCACTCCACCGCCATCTAAACTGAGAATCACCGGATGCTTAGTTGGAGGTAGTTGGCGGACAGTGACGTTGGACCTCTCGTCGCAGATAGGGCATTGAGCGACCTCGAAATGATACTCCCCAAGCGAACTTGGATTTCCGAAGATCACGATGCAGGTGTCACATATTGCATGTTTGCAGGGGAGCATATGCTCCGGGGGTCGACACAGACAGACCAAGCAAGTAGTGGTGGAACGAAGACCACCCCACCGGCGATACAAGCGATGCAACGTCTCCTTTCGAATGGCTGCTGAAGTCCTCACAGCACTCAACTGCCAGAAATATTGCACGAAGCGGAATGAAACGCCAGCAATATGGCTCTGGAACCTTTCGTCCCAGATGCCGAGACATAATTTCTCATAAAGCGCGGCGAACACCAAGGTGGGCGAGAAACCTGAGAAATTCAGCTTTTAAGTCGAGACATGAAAGTGCGAGTGGAAAGAAAATTCGAACTTACCATGCATTCCAGGGGGGTAGGCATCCATCAAGAAAGCCGTAGCTACAAGATCATCAAAGTCCTCCTTTGAGCAGCTAACGGATGTTTTATATTGAGTGACCTCTCGAAGACAATCGGCCATCGTGTCATTTCTCGTATAGTCACTTCGGGCTCTTGCCAAAAGATCAAATGGCGGTGCATCCAGGAGCCGTTGGTGGCTTTGTACATGGGTGTTCCAGAAAGCACAGAGGTGAATTGCTGAGAACCGCCGACAAGCTGATAGTTGCTCGGCCTGGACTATACCTAGTTGCTTGAGGATCAAGCTTTGCAGTGGCGCAAAAGCGACGCTGTCTGAAAGCCCGCTACGTGGACTGAGATCGAGAATCGTGACTGTCCCGGTCTTGATCATCTGACGAACTGAGAGAGTGGTCAAATACCACTAGGACCATTTGGGACAGGCTTATTCATCGTTCACCCAATTCCCCCTAGTATTTGTACGGTATTCCGGGCACATTCGGAAGTACGGTGTTGTAACACGCCAAAGCTTATTTGTATAGACCCCTGAGATCGTTCAACCGATCTTTAACACCTACAATCAATCACCTGATTCTATTGGACATGTTCAGTACCAGCCAGTACATCAATTCCTCATCCTGACATCATCTTTTGGAGCTGTGCGTATTCTTGTGTGAAGGCTTTTGTTGTATGCTTGCCGTCGGTCAAGACAATGACTATCTGCGTGGGAGCCGGAATACCCTCGTTGCCAATAGTCAGCTGTCGACGTGGTTGTTGGAGTAAGTTTCTTGCGGCCTGAATGTCAGCGGCGGAATCGAGGAACAAACACAGGATCTGGGTCCATGGTAAAACAATTTGCCTCTTCACTTCTTGTTGTAGCCTTGCAGGGGGCAACAGCCCTTCTGCGCCCGTTATAGAGAAGCTTCGATGCTTTGTCGTTGAATGCTTGAGCCATTTCGAGTCGCCCAAGCTGTGCTCCAGGCATAAACTGCTTTCAGCAAACAATATAGGACTCTGTGTATGAGCGGTCTTGGTGCTGAGATGAAGACGAATCAAGCCTGCGGGGCCTTTGCGTGTGATGTTGTTGTATGGAAACAGAGCCCGCAAAGCTTTCATGCGGTTTGAATTACCGGTAAAATACAGCAGTGATGGATATTGACATTTTGGATAGGGTAATTCCTGCACAAGTTCTCCCAAGCGGTTGGTATCCACCAAGTTCCATACTTCATTCTCTCTGACGAGATCAAGCCAAGCAGCCATTAGATGGAGTGGGAGACCTAAAAAAGAAAGAGGTCTGCTGGAGGCTTTATATTCGGGGACTCGTCGGAAATTGACAAGAGGCGCTTCAAAGTGTCGCTGGGCCCTCAACTTGGAACTGGCGTGGCATTTTCTCGTCTCAGATTTTGATCTCAAGCGAAAACATTTGGGCGCCAGGTTTCTTCTTCGTGTGTATCTGCAAGTTGCGGTCGTTTGAATCAAGTTTGCAACAAATGTCACTTTCTGTCAGACTCACCGCGAGACAAAGCTGCGGCTTCCTCTATATTAGAATGGTAGCAATCTTGCACTACTGACTATATAATTCATTCTAAAGCCCTTTCTTGCTTTGTGGCCTCTTCGTGATAGTCCCTAACATTCCTCGGCTATTACCTCTGTGGGCAACCATCTAAGTATGACAGGTAAAATGGGATCAGAAAGGATTGCCCTTCCTGCAATGAAATCTGCGCTTGTTCCGTTCCGCCCAGCTGAAAATGTGACGCCTGCGCTGTCTAGAGCCAGCCAGATCGACGACCCGATTGAGACCACTTATGTCAGAATGCTCAGGGAAGAGGCAGAAATGCACATCAGCTTCAATATCACGGTCGGTGTGGCTAATTGGGCACTGCTGGCCGGTTATCTCGTCATCCCCGGCACGTTCACTTCACTGCAAACTTCAAACCAGGTCGAAAAGGCTTTGCAAGTCAACAAAGCCGGTCGTACCGTGCTGCATACCATCCAGAACCCTCCATTACTCGGGATTGCGTGCCTTCTTCTTGTGAGTGGCATTGGAGCTCTCATGTGGCTGATGCACTTCCCAAAGCTCAGGAGAAACTACCTATGGCTGGTCAATAAACTCTTTGTGTAAGTGAGCAACGCCGTGAGACAGATTTGGAGAGCGCGGGCTCAAGACTAAAACCGAACTAGGCCTCTATGCTTGAATGCTGCCGCCGGGCTGCTGACCACTGTCATCAACGTGTGTACGTCTCAAGGTGGAGACTGGTCGGTAATGGCAATTGTCACAACTGCTGTAACTGGAGCGACACTTTCTATCTGTTCAGCACTTCTGGCAATCTACAAATTCTACAAGTTGGAGGAGATTATAAAAGAAGATGAGTATATCAGGCGTTTTCGAGCTGCGATCTCAAAGTGATGTGAAAGTTTCAGACGGTGAAAGGGCTTGGTCACATGTACCACTGATCATTTGACAGTGGTGTTGGATTTGTGCTGGCTTTCATGCCGAGATGTCAATCCGTGCTTTTTGTTTAGTTGTAGAGTTCGATATTATTGTTCTGGTCCCTATACAATTTTGGTCACGCACCTCTGTCATGTAAACTGTACTAACCCGAGCCCAAATGCTAGCAAGATTAGTTATTAAGTGTCAAAGGATGCTTTATAAATATAGTAATTTTGAATACCCAATGGACCGAGGATCGACGGAAGGCCACTCTCAACGCCATCCTTACACAGGAAATTCTAGAAAAGAAACAAATCGCTAGGTATCATTTTGATCCCACGTAGCAGCTGTATTGCATACAAGACAAATTTGCAACTTGGAACCGACTTTTTGTCTCCATAAACTTTCTCAAATTGACACTGACCCAATGAATGATTCTGGAGGTCAACGCATCTGCACTCATTGGTCAAAAGCCTAGCGAAAGTCGCCGCAATTAAATCTCTATGAGGGGTTATGCTGCTCTAGTGCTTACAAGTTGGTCTCTTATCCTTCCTCATGAAATAGCTGGCCTTACTCGTTATTTTGCTGGAGAGGAAAAATCTCTCCCAAAGTAAAGATCCACAAGGGATTTCCGCACAAAAAAAGTGATCATACTCAAAGCCAAGGCTCCAGAACCCGCCAGCAACTTATGGAGTTCATATTTCCACGAATTCCCTTGTCTCTTTATTCCGAGGTAAATTTCAACGAGCTAGAGTGTAGCTAAGTTGATGTTCAGTTGCTCTGATTGAAAGTTGAGCAAAAACATATAAACTTGAGGTGCACGCATTTCCTTAAAATTCAGTGTCAAATAATCCGGTCACGCGTTTTAACTAAGGCATCGCTTGATGTCTCGAAATGCATAAATACCCGCTATCGACCGCTCGAATTTTTTGCTGTTCGCAGAGAACATCGCGGTTGGCCATTCAATATGGCACCAAATAATGGTGGAGTTACTAAAAACTCTACCCCCAAGGCCAATAAATCTCACCTCCCTGAAATGGAGCAACTAGCAAACGATAATTTGATCTCTTCGCAAAAGATCGATAGTGCAGCTGCGCAAGCGTCTATTTCGCAAGGGCGCCACCCAACACACAACTCGTCAGACGCACACGATGGTGGTCAGCTTAGCGACAGTGACCCGATTGGCCAAGCCAACTCTTCGCCGCCATTGAACAGCTCGGTCATGAATTCTATCGAGAGAGACGACACCCCGATGCTTGATGCTGGCTCGGTAGACCAGACCGGGGCCGGGTCACGCTCGAGTGGTCATGAACGCCCTCCTGCAGCCGGTCATCCACAGAATCACGATGATTTGTCTCCCAGTGCCCGAGGTACCACCGAGCCCGAAGAGCCAGCACTTCTAGCCACCCTTGATCCCTCCAATGATGAGGAAGAAAGCGACGCGCTCGTAGATGGATGGGGAACCCTGCGAGGATCAAGCTTTGTCATTCTCCAGTACGGGCCTCGCCATGGAGCCAGATACAAATTCAAATACCGACATGGATATACCAATGCATTCATGAATAGCATGTCTGAATCGTCTCTGCGGATCTCCCAGATCAAAGTTAGTCCAGGAAGCAAAAACTGGCGGTATTCCAAGAACAATGTTGTCGGGATCTACGGAATTGCCTCGGAAGAAAGAAAGAATCCAAATAAAAAATACAAGTCTGATCCCTGTACTTGGTTGAAGATAAAATGGAAGGACCTGAGGTCAGAAGATACCGACAAAACGCAAAATTTTTGTTCTTGGATTCCCAGATCCGATTTCATTCGCTTCTGCAATGGCAAGCGCGCTGCAGATGCAAAGATCAAAGAGGTCTGGGACAAACAAGAAGAACGCTATCAGCGTGTGCTCCAGAGTGACACTGGAAGAAGCTCTGAAGATCGGTCTCCCACCCCTTGCCCATTGGGGTCAGCAGCGAGGCAATCACTTCCGCGAGATCAAACAAGACGTCTCAGTTCACCTGCAACTCAATTCGTATCTGCGGGCCAATATGAAATTCCCCCTTCCACTGCACAATTGCGTCCAAGACAGGGGTCGTCAACCAACCCAATCAACCTTGATGGAGATGAGGCACCTCAGAATCCAGTTTCCTCCGGCGCTGCTTTGAACTCGAACACCAACGCCGTGCAGAACAAGTCCAACCTCGCAATTGGCCAAAGAGCCATACGTACAGAAGCGGAATTCATTGCAGAAAGGGAGAAAGACGAGGGATGGCATGATCTAGACGATATCCAGAGAGAAACTCGCCTTACGGTGGCGAAAGCCATGTATGACCTGTACCGGGACACAATCGCCCAGAATATGCAATCCCAAAGCTCGGTCAATACCCCAATTGGCGAGCGACCAGGAGTAGCCGTCGCCGCCCATTGATGCCCTGATTTCATCTAGATTGCTAACGTTGAATTGGGCGTTTTGATTTACCAGTTCGATAAATTGATACATAGATCAACAGATAGACCGATAGATAGCTTTCTTTTATTTCAAATTGAAACAGATTTGTTTCCTTGTTTCTTCTCATGTGGTGTCAACATTCAAAACAGATTACGCGAAAAGAAATGATCAGGCGTATCTCGTCTCCAGAAAGTCTCGAGTTATTTGGTTCTTGATGTTGTATTTACAATATATCTATACTGCTACTCGGTGACGAATTTAATTCAACCGTTATATATCAAAATATGAGGAATGGAGTAAAAGCTTGCACAACGGGATGTAATAAGCTTTCACGGGTGATATGAATCTGCTATTCTTGTACGAAAGGCCGGTGTGATTGTACTCGAGGAGTGACCGACTCAATTCCCCAAGGTAAGGGGTTTTGAGACACAACGAGCAAATAGTACGATAACAAGCACTAAGGAACTAACAGCCCGTAAGAGAACATGGCAACATGAGAGAGCGAAGTAAAGATGGTGAGGATGGTGAAGATGGTGAAGATGGTGAAGATGGTGAAGATGGTGAAGATGGTGAAGATGGTGAAGATGGTGAAGATGGTGAAGATGGTGAAGATGGTGAAGATGGTGAAGATGGTGAAGATGGTGAAGATGGTGAAGATGGTGAAGATGGTGAAGATGGTGAAGATGGTGAAGATGGTGAAGATGGTGAAGATGGTGAAGATGGTGAAGATGGTGAAGATGGTGAAGATGGTGAAGATGGTGAAGATGGTGAAGATGGTGAAGATGGTGAAGATGGTGAAGATGGTGAAGATGGTGAAGATGGTGAAGATGGTGAAGATGGTGAAGATGGTGAAGATGGTGAAGATGGTGAAGATGGTGAAGATGGTGAAGATGGTGAAGATGGTGAAGATGGTGAAGATGGTGAAGATGGTGAAGATGGTAAGGTGACCACCTTCGAGAGATAGTGCACAGCATAGTACATAGGGTTATAATAGGTTCGACACCTTGAATGTATACCGGAACTCTGCACACAATGTCTAGTTCGAGGAATCATGTTCAACGCAATGATATAGCCTACTGTTGATGCCCATGTGCAAGGGACAACGGTAGCTCTAGCGGTTTCCTCTCATTTCATTCAGAGTTCAAGACATAACTGAGCTAAAACGACCACATAAATGTGAGTTCATGCCCCGCTCGAGTCCTCACTATTATTCTCTTGGAATACCTTTGGCTCCTCAATTCCACAACGACTACCTGAAGAGGGATTACCTTCACGATAATAGACGATAATAGCCAGGTAAGGTAAAAGTTCCACGAGAATCTCATTTCCACCCATATCATTAATAGCTAAGATAAGGTCTAGTTCGGAGAGCCGTACGTGTACCATTGGGAGGCCGAATTAAATTCATCGGACGCTACATTATCTTTTAGCTAACTTCACATACACAAGCTAAGTAAGTATCTTGATTTATGCCCATTGCAATGCTATGTTGCAAGATTGACAAGTTATAACATCGAAATTTTACAGGCGACTCTGAGAGCGACCCTACCACCAACATCTGGGTCAGAAACAAAATGGCGACCACTCAAAGCACGAACTCGACGGGAACGATAGCCTGGAACAATGCCTTCGTGCCATTGACTTTGATCATCCCAACATTCACTCTGCCAACGGCTAGCACTGTGGAGGTCGTGACAGTGCCCGACTTGCCTGCTGCTGAAGCGTCAGGAAATGCGCCATCTTTGGCGATAGTTCGTGGACTGGGCTTGTGTTATTTGATTTTTCTAACCGCGCTTATTTGTCAAAGTCTATGATTCATCAGTCTGTAGAAAAGGATCATACCGGTGAAGATCGTTGCGATATTTGATGAAAAAGATGCCATGCTTCATCAACTGAATCAGAGTGGCTATGCTGTTTTCCCAACCTATAGAAAATGTGCAACGCTGTAGGAAACGCCAGAGTCCATGGGAGCGTCCCAACGTAAGTTCATCCTATTCGAAAACCAAGAGCATAGCATTTGTCTTGGTGATATTCAGACTTTCGAAAAAAGTCCACTCTGCCGTAGGCAAAAAACTCCTAGCAAGGTCGGCTTTTTGCATTCCCTCCTGGACGTCGAGAGCGCGCGTGACCTGCAGCTTCAATGGCGTCGTTATTCGCCATCGCACCTGCCCTGCTGTTCCGTCCTTGTATTGTACTTCAAAATCCATACAAGGGTCACTCCACGTTATTGAAGCAAGGTAGCTGCCACAATATCTGACAAACTGTGCGATGAATCCGTATGTATTAGAAGCTAACATTGGTGGCTAGGGAAGTGGTTAGAAGACATCTAGCCTTGAAGACGTAAGCAGAAACTACCTGTGGATGACGGCCCAGAACTTCCATGGCACGATCTGTCTGCTTGGCCAACACTAGCTCCTTGAATCCATTCAGGACGAGCAATTGAGCTCTTTGCTGCATCACCAGGTACGACAGCTTGCCAGCCTCACGCGAGTACGCGTCGACATCCGCCATCAAGTTAAGGTTCTCCTTGGCTCGATTGCGACGCCTTTGTGATGCCAGAGTCTGGTGCTTCCGTTTATTCGCTGCGGCGCGTGAACCGGAGTCTTCCCATTTGAAAGGAATCCTCTTCGCATTAGCGGAAGTAGCTGGCTTCTCCTCTTCGAGATCGACGCTCCGGGTCACAAGGGCTACTTCTGGAGATCCCGGTGGCACAGCGGTCGTTTGCTGCTTTCCGGCATCTTCTGGGGGCAACAGCAAGTCTTTAATCGATCTGTCAAGTGTTAGCTGGGATCAGGTCTTATCAGATAGAAACTCACAGTGCTCGAGGGAAACGCTCAGATGTCATCTTGGAGAGCTTGGATTGATGCTGGAGACATGAGATCTATCGGCTCAAACGGAGAAGAGGAGTACTATTTATGTCAAAATTTACAGAAATTACTGTACGGGGCATAGCCCATAACACTCCCTGCACTACATGAATTGAGCCTCACAAGTAATCCTAGGAATCGAGGAGGCTGTGTCGTCATTTTTCAAAACTTACTACAACTACTCTCGCTGCCTTCGCATTAGACCCCTTTATGTCCATACTATAATAGCCTGCGAAACGGTAAAGAATGCAGGTAAAGTTATACGTGAAAAAAGTATCTCACGCAGTGGGGCTATTCTTTTCCAATAGCATGCCTGTGAAAGGGGGAGGATTGTTAGCAAGCTAGAAGACCCCTATTATCATTGCTCCTAGGATATACAGGGCAGTTCATAGAATGGTTTTTGTGCCTAGTGAGAAACTTCAATATACACGCGAGTCTATCAGCGTCGTTTGGTCCAGCGCTTGGAATTCTTTTCTCTCCCTTGGGATGATACAATTTGGGCTTATTTGCAGCTTGTATTACACATGGCCAGGAACAATGCCAACTGAGTTTGCCTTTGTTTAAACAGACTTTGACAAAGAGCATAATTCTTAACTCAGAGCAATTTGTGCGATAGTTTGAGCACCAAAATAGAGTGAGGGCTGGTGAGGTCGCAGAAAATAGCATTCAAGACCTGCTTTCTGATGCAAAGCAAGCCACCAAGCGAAATCGTTGAAACATCAACCGATTGTGATTGATATAGATCATCAAGAGTTCACCATAGCCTGCTAATTTGCGGGATATCACTTTTAAGTTGCAGTGACATGGTAATATGATGTCGTGACCAAGTGCCATCGTGATGAGGGCCAAAGGGGCATGTAGAAATCAAGCTTTGGCGATATAAATTCCAGTGTAATTCCCACTGCCCTTTTCCATAAGTCGCCAAAACCACACACAAAGATGAAGGACAATCAGGTCAGCCCTAGTCGGCCTCCGACTGTGTGGGTTGATCAATCTGCTTTCTTCCAGGAGCACCCGAGTTCAAAACCAATTGCTTCTCCGGATATTCAACCCTCGCCGAGTCAGAAAATGATTGCCGCCGCAATCGCCCTCAGTTTGAAGAAATCACTCCCGGATCGCCCAAAGCGAAAGATCCCACAGCTGAACCAAAACCCATGGGATACTTTCGAACCTGTTGCTGCATCATCGCAAGATCGATCTCTGATCTTTGCCCGACACAAGACGATGAAAGAAGAGTTGGTGCATATCCAAGAACTCAAACAACAGTTCTCGCCCGCTACAGGTTTCCTAGAACTGATGGAACAAATCTCTCATCCAAGTTTCTTGAGGCTGATCGAATGTTACCATCAGGATGCATCCTGCACGTTGGTCTGGGAGCCAACGGAAGTGTCAGTCAGCCACATTTTAGCCTCCAGCTGCTCAATTACCAACGATGAACTGCTTGGAATTGTCAAACCGGTGAGTCAAACACAAGAATCTTGCAGATGCAGCTGCAGCTAACTCAGAATAGGTATTGGAAGGAATACAATATCTGCGCGGGCTTGGAAGAGCACTCGCTACCCTGGGCCCGGAAACAGTCCTGCTTACACAGCCTGGTGATGTCAAGATCAGTGAGGCATCCACTTATATGATTAGTAACTACAAAGACTGACATTCACTAGTCGGGGCCGAAAATAGCTGCCAGATCCATGAATCAGAAATGAATCCTGCGACAATGAAACTATGCGCTCTAGCTGATGTTGTCACCAAATTGATGCTGAGGAACCCTACCTACGAATGGGAACCCGAGATCAAAGACTTGCCTTGCCAGCTGGAAAGTATATCGGTTGACGAACTCTTGCAGGTCAGTTCATTCTTCCATGTCACCAGATTCTCAGCTAATGTGACAGAATACCATCTTCACCCGAGCAACATGCGAGGGGGAGTTGAAGTTGTTGGTCAGTGTAGCCAACAAGACTGCGTATCACGGTATCAAATCTTACTATGCTCGTTGCTGAACGATGAACTCATTGGTGTTGGCTTGGCTCTTTGCTTGAAGGCCTATCCAGAAAGATCTCGCGATCCTGTCTTTCATCTTTGCTGCTCGGATACTATATGTGTGGTACATAAGCAAGTTAGGAGGGGAAGTTCAATAGACAAAGCACGTTTCGCAGGTGGTAGTTTACAAACGCGTTTTCAACGATAGACTTGTCTTAGTTTGAAAGTGCTCCCCGACTAATCCACAAACGCTCACTTAACATGTGGCCTGTTGTTAGAACCAATCGTTGCTTATGTGAGCGACCGATCTCAGTCCATTAGCGCTTCTTTGTCGTCTATTGTGGTTGCACTTTGTGTAGGATGAGAAGTGCGATGCCTCTGTTTTTCTTTTCTGCATGATCATACCGGTCGAGCAAGATACTATCATTGTTTCGCACAATGCCGTGCTGAAGCGAGAATGTTGAGACCAAATTTGTAATCCAGAACGATAGATGGAACATTGTAGACTAAGTCTATGATGGTAGCTACTTATGTGGACTTTGTACTTTGCAGGCCATTTTGATTAAGCTAAATAATCGGGTCTCTCCAGTCTATATAGCTCAAAGCTGCAAGGACCCCATCGTTCGGCCGCTGATATAAGTCTAGTTACCCTGGCAGCCACAGGAACAACACGTTGAGTGGGAATTTTCAGTCATGGAATCTGCCGCGCCGGTGTCGGCTGGATCGGTGACTTGAATTGGACCGAATGTAGGATTTCCGCTGCACACCGGTTCGCTCTCTTCCGGGAGGTTGTTTCTGTTGCCATTATATTCAACAATACTTCCAGGCGAAGGAAACCTGATGTCTACATTCTCTCTGGTCATGCAACCGTTGATATTGGCAACGAACATAGGAGGAAAAGCAGGCGATTGTTTGGGCGTGTCGTCGAACGCATTCGAGGGTGAGTCATTGGCCACAGTGATGGGTGCGCAGTTCATGTACATCTCACGATTGCCGATACGATTGAACCACGTCCAGGCCAAGGTGTATTTCCCGGGCTC